GCTGGGAGTGGGCCGGCCGCGGCCCCTGCCAGGCCGCGCCACCTTCACCGGCGCAGCCGCCTTCAAACTGCCCTTGCTGGGCGGCGGGTTGGTCGGCGGAGGCGGCAGCGGTGCCTCGACGTCAGTCCGAGTCGCTGTCACTGGGCGGCCGCCGCGGAGACGGCTTCTGTTTGACCCGCAGCCGGCCTGGGCCGGCACGGCGCCCTCGGCCGGCGGCGCGCGCCGTTTCGAGCGTTTCACCTTTTCACTGTTACTCTCGCCTGGTCCTCAGCGTCGAGCGGCTCGGCGCTGTTCGGTTTCATGTGGCCCATGCTGCTGGGAAACTCGGGTGGGGACAGCTTTCTGACTGGAGTGCCGTCGAAGATGGAGGAGACGGGGGTGCTCGCAGAGTCCTTGCCCAATGCCCATGATAGAGCCGAGGCTCCACTGGACGCCCAGCTTAATCGGGCTATCGCCGCCCTCCTTCTATGGTGGATTCTTCGGCCCCCTACAGCCACTAGGGCCATCATATACTCCCAGATGGCGGCACCTAGGGGATGAGGGGGGGGGTGTCTGGGCCACTTGTCCACCTCGTGGCGTCGCCAGCGACGCCTGCGAGTCGGAGCAAATGATTATGGGGTCTTCCTCGAAGGACGGGTGCTTCAGGAGATGTTGCTTTGCCGTTTTGGGCGCCACCATCTCAGATCGGTAAATGGAGCAAATCCTCCCCGCCGCCTCCCGCAGTACCAATGTTGTACTGTCTGGGTGCTCGGTGAGGACCCCAGCGCCGCCTTCCTATTACTCCCCCGGTCGCAGACCCGTCGACCCAGGCCCACGTCGCACGCTGGGGGAGCGCTCCCAGTCACGCCTCCGCAGCACTCCTCCTCGCTGTCGCGGACGCCCCGATCGGCAGCAGGTCCAGGTGGACCGTGACGCCGTCTGTTGGCGTCTACGGGGGCAGTCTCGTGGATAAGCGCGCCTCGGCGGGCAGCGCCACTCCAGTGGTCCCACACCGCTCCCCCGCGCTCTCTCCAGCCGGTCACTGACTTCAGTCACGGTTGGGGGGGGGGCTTCCGCCACGACGCGGCGGGTCCTCCGACGGGAGGGAGAGCGCCTTCGCCAGTAGGCGCGATGCCAGCGCATCCCTCCTCATCTCTCCATCGGCACGACGCCCGCCTCGGCCCTCACGGCGAGTCTTGGAGCATGGAAATCGGGCAGCCAGTGATGACTCATGCCACCATCAGCATCTCCGCCTCCAGGACGCCAAGATGTGTGGCCGCAGCCGCAGGCAGCCACGCCGACCCCGCTGCCCGCATGCCCAAGTAGTCTCGAATCGCTGACACCTCTCCTGAAACAAGAGTGGTGTCGTAAACTTAAACCCCTTGCTGGAGCCCGCCAGCCGCGACAACACCGCCACACCAATTTTTGTGACCCCGGAACTTCCGTCCCGAGCCTTATTTCACGGCACGATGCTACAGTGCGCTACACGTATTGTGGTATTCAGCTTCCATGGAAACATCAACTAATTTGGACGCTCAAACATGGGAGTCAGGAGTGGTTAAGGCCCAGAGCGTTCTGTCTGGTTTATAAAACCTTGGCCAGCAGATGTAAACGTGCTTTTTGTATAAGTGGCTTAATTTTGACGCAAAAGGGCACTAACCTTCGGCGCAAATAATGCAGAAATTTCAGCGCAAATTGCAAAATAGCTTGCGCCGAACTTCGGCGCATGACGGCTTCACGGGCGTCCGGCGTACCATATGGATGTTTTCCAGTTTGGGCTGCAGGTTTTAGCTCTAGGTTTTAGACTGTAGGTTTTGGGTTGGGTTGGGCTGGGCTGGGCTGGGCTGGGCTGGGCTGGGCTGGGCTGGGCTGGGCTGGGCTGGGCTGGGTTGGGCTGGGCTGGGCTGGTTGGGGTGGTTGGGTTGGGTTGGATTAGGTTAGGTAAGTTTAGGTTAGTTTAGTTTAGGATAGATATGAATACCTATTTTTTGTAAGTTGAATTATTTTTTTCATTTTGTAGCATCATATGCCTTCCATCTTTGAACTGCCATATTCAAGCACCAGAATAAGTATGGACTTGAACCTTTTCCAGTCTGGATGCCTGTATGGAAGTTGTGCAAAATCATGCAGTTGAAGGTATTGTAACCACAAATAAGAGCTCATGACTCAAGTCTCAACTTGTCCATAATTGGTTATCTTGATGTATACTTGTAGACCCTTCCTCTTACTTGGCACACAGGCATGGTGTCACAGTGTTCTAAAATTGGATTTCAATTGGGTGTCCCAATAAAAAAATCTGAAGACAAAATGAGATAGATTTAGTCTTTCCGCAAAACTGCATAATGCCATTTTTACCTCAGATTTTGTCAGAACCTTCACAGGATCTGAAATGAAATGATGTAGAGTAGATGCATCAACTGTCAAGTCATGCGTAACCCGGCAGCTGGCTGTTGAATCAAACTTTTGATATATTTTTTTTTAGCAAAGATGAAATAAAGCCACTTGTCATATTTTTAGGATGAAAACATTTTCCCCATCATGTATGGTTATTCACCTAAAATTCTGAAACATGGAACACTGTCATACCAGCATTCCATCATGTCAACCAGCATTCCGCAGCATGTTAGCAGAAGCAGCAGCATGTTATAAGTATATGAAAGATCCAAATAGGTTGTAGGTTGGTAGGTATTGGTACTAAGTTTAACTTAATAGGTTAGTAGGCAAGGTTAGGATTAATTTTAGTTGAGCATCAAGATAACCATTATGAACAAGTAACAAAATCCTTACCTACCCTTGAAAGCATCGCTTCAATCACATCATCACGAAGAACCAGACAAAATTTTTGCACATTCTTACACTATTTGACATCCTGAATCCAGATATGATGCTTTCATGTGGCGCAAATACAAGAAAAACGAATAATCAAACCCGTGCGTATTCGTATCAACAGCGCCACAATTGTAGATCAGACCTTTTCTGAACAAATGCCACCACAATTTTAATTGATAAGGGATTAAAATGGCATGAGCATCAACATCTTGATTTTTTCTAAAAGATAGCGATAACTGATAACTAATAACTTACCATTCATTTTGAAATCACGGCGGTAGGTACACCAACACATGGCACTGAAAACAGCAAAAGACGGAATGGCGGAATGTCGTATGGAGCCCTAAAACGCAGCTCGAATTGAGCCCGAAAAGGAAGACGAACTGATGCCGCTTTCGGGGCTAATGTACTTTGAGCCCGAAAAGGGCGCCTAACTGATCCCGATTTTAAAATCATACAGATTTGAGCCCTGTTTTGGCACTCATATGAGCCCTTATTCAAAAATGTTCTCAAAGTGTTTTCTGAGTGCGCTGGCGATAGAGAGCTGAAACTTGGCATACCTGACCTTTGATCCAAGCCACATCTATTGACACCAACCGCATTTTTGGGTCAGGTCAGGTCACTGACCTATGACGTCAACTCATAAGTGAACCTCTGCACGGTCTTCAGATGTCGCAACTTCGCAACGCCCTCACTGCCAGAGGAGATGTCACAGGGAAATGAAACTTGCAGGATCTAGTATCCATTATGAGTCCCACAATTTGTATATCTCGGATTTTTCCTAAAGGTCATATGAGGTCAGGTCATTTTCGTGACCTCACCATTATAAGTCAATGGGGAAAAATGAAAACTGCTATTCTGGTGCCGGGAACGATCTCCAACTATCTCAAGCACACAGAATCGTGATTTGATGCACTCCTTGCAAGGTTAGATGCGTCACTTTTGCAATGTTGACCTTGCGTGACGTCATTTATGACGTCATCAAGGTCATATTAGTTTTTCGTCAATAACTCTTGATCAAATTAAGCTAGCGAGTCGAGAAAGCCACCAATGGACTCAGGAAGACCTGCCGAATCGAATGATATGCGACATGACCTCTTTCGACCAACTTCGTGACCTGGGGGTGCTGACCTGACCTTGACCTGAGGTCAACACCCCAAGTTGACCTGACCCGGACAAAAAGTATATCATTCGACGCGCCTGAGCGAGGCGAACACGATGCTGCCAAAATCGCGGCTCTGCGACCGTTTTTTGCGAAGTTATTCACCAAAAACTGAACCGTACCCTGGGGGACTTGACCTGACCTCAGAGGTCACCGGTTGACCTAGGACCTTAAAATCGGGTACCAATCTCTGCGTCTTGTAACGGCGCACACGCTCGTTTTTTCCGCGACGCGCTAGCTCCACCAGGGGCGAAACGGCGAGGGGGGTCGTACCCCCCCCCCCTCGGCCGGCGCGTATGTAGAAAACCAATAGGTCCGGCGAGGGTTAAGTATAGAAAGAGCATACAAATACCGTTTTAGTGGCATCACTTTGCATTTGAAAAGAGAGGGAACATACACTGCATAAATGTGGTTGCAAAATGTTGAGCCGGAATATACATACCTACCTACGCCTTATTTTATAAGCCTGAACTTGGATCCAGGGGGAGAGATTAAGTCATAATCACTCAAGTCATAGACCTGCTTTTCACCACCACGGTCCACGCTCCTCCCCCCCCCCCCCGGTCAGCACCTTTTCCACTGCTGGTTTTTCCCGCCCCCCCCCCGGTCAGCACCTTTCGTCGCCGCTCCCACTGGGGTCCAGGGTTCAGCCCCCCCAACCTATTTTGCGATCCTACACCCCTGGAGTTAGGTATCTGTTATAGAATGGCTGCCATAGGCTACAACGGTCATGTGACCTCCCAAGGTCACCGAGAGGTCACCATAATATTCGAGACAGCTGATGAAATCGCATACGCTGAATCGACTGGTGGTGTTTTCGTCGCGATCGGCCCAGTAGTTCCTGAGTTATAGAATGGCTGCCATAGGCGACAACAGTCATGTGACCTCCCAAGGTTACCAAGGTCACCTGAGGTCATCATCTTCGAAACGGCTGATAAATTCGTACCCGCTGATTCGAATGGTCTTTCGTTCGTTCCGATCGGTCCAGTGGTTCCTGAGTTATAGAATGGCTGCAAGGGTGGTGATCAAATAGTGTTGTCCCTCAGCGAACGGTAGATGGCAGCACATGAAATTGAGGAAGCGCAGGTGCGCATTTGATACGATTACGACGCAAACATTCGTTCGGAAGGACAGCCACGTATTTATAGCGCAAATTAAATTATCGAATATTGGGTCTTTTAGGTACTAGGTGGTTGCTGAAACTTGCAAATTTACTGTCTGTTGAGTGGTCAAGGTAAGAGGAACAGATAAAGATTCATCCATTGACCATCAGCTCAAGATCAAGATCTCTGATGGCTGTCCATCTTGATCTCTGTCTCGTTTTGGTTCTCGTCTCCCAAGGTGGTTACAAAATGCATATTTGTCTTATATTTTTACTTAAAATGATTTTTTTTTAATTGGAAAAACATCATGTCTTTTCAACTTAAGAAGGCTAGGCACATTACAATGTAAGCCCACACCGGCTGCCCAGCGGATAAAAAAGTGCATTAGAGACCAGAGACCAAGATGCTTGCCGCTTGCCTTCCCAGTTCCCACAGCCTCCATAATGACAACTTCCTCCTTGCATAAAAATGTTTTAATATTTGTTAGATAGTTTGGGTTTTAACTGCTCAGCAGTTAAAACCCAAACTATATTCAAATTGTTTTAAGTTTTTGTCAAAAAAGCAAAATCTTAAGTTTTAAAAAATAGAGTAGGTACCTAGATAACGTGGTAAGTTTTTAGCTTTTGGAAGTTGTTGGTACCCTTAGGGCCTTAGGTGTCTGCCTTTTCCCGTGCAGCATCTTAACTCAGAAGATGCATTTCACTTTTTGGATGCACTAGTGTAGGCCATAACATTAGTCTGGATATTTCTCATTCCACCCCCAAAGCACAAAACGACAAACGTGAATCATCAGTTACTGCATATTCCCTGTCTATTCAGAACTTATTGAAATATGAGTGCTAAACTGATAAGCTGTCAAAAAAAGTGGACCCTGTCCATGAAGCCTTGTTTTTCATGTGTTTAAGATCAGCCTCTATATTAAAAAACATTGAAATCTTACAAATGCAGTCCTTATTTACTCTTTTGCAGTAGTGATGAGGCCAGGTATTCATTGAACTGAGTTTTTAATGACTTACTTTCAAGACATTCAGTGATCTGATTGCCATATTTCAGATTCACTGAAAATGGGCTACACCCCAGTGCAGATTGTGGCTGCTCTTCTTGCTGCATTTTTTGCCTTTTGGCTGTATCTATCAAAGTATCAGAGCTAAGCATTTCTTACCTGACAAGGTATACAATGGTATTGTAGTTGGTGTTAAACTGTTGCACATTTCCCTGCATGACCTTACTAGCTGTTACTTGTCACTTCCTCACTTCTGTGCACCCTTTCACACAGCTTCTGTTATACACAACTGTTCAGTATGAACAAACAGTTACATTTTTACTATCTGCTAGATTCTAGGCTGATGGCTTAACTTGAGAAGAATGGGTAACTGCTTATTGCAGTTGCTGCACACATGTAGATGTACTCCACTCTTGCTGCATGATAGAGTCTTGTAAATCTGCTGAGAGCCTGGGGTTAGTTGCTACAGCTCTTGATATTGATATATGAGGCTCCCCACGGCCCACAGACTGTGTCCAGCTATGATGTGTAGGCTTTACTTTGGAGTTAAATTTTCCTACCACCCAGAATTGCCTGATCTGATGCTAGAGGTAGGGGCCCACTCAGGCTCTGGATTTGTTATCCAGTGCTGCAGGCTACAGCTTTGTTCAGTGACTAGAAATTAGATGCTACCTAAAAATATCAAAGCTTCCTAACCAATCAATTCAATTTTATATAAATTTGTCAGGACTTTTCTTATGTACCTAAACATCATCACATTCCTTGTAGATCTTTGTTACTTTCGATTATCTTACTTCTCTGATGTTGACCAGTAGCCAAGGCTATATATCCAATTCCTCATCATGCTGGAAAAAGCTTTTGGATACCTCTTGAATGTTTAAAAGTCAGTGTCCATTATCTTCATTTTACCTATTTTAAGTTGCTTGACAAGTGGAAATGGCATGTTCGTTTTTGTTGAATGCTGTATTGTGTTCAGAACTGCTTTTTTACAGCAATATTTTTCCTTGTCTAGTTATTGTGTGTGCTGTGGAGCTGTGTAGACTTAGAGGCTTGTGGACAAAAATGTCCTGACTACTTACTACTGTTGTGGCGTCCATTTTGAAAAGGTGCTTTTGCTGCTGGTTTTCTAACATGTCACTGAAAGGGCTGCTTTTAAAGTGAACTTGATTTAATTAGTAATATGCATATGTTTACATGATCATTTACATGATTTTTGTCAAATTCATTTGGTAAAATGAGGCTAGTTTGACTTGATCAATCATATGCATGAAGCCATGCTGACATCTTGGTATTGCCTGTGGTCACGGGCATAACTCAGATGCTGACGTCGAGCTGCGTTTCAGGTCTCTGAGTCACACCAGAACGATGGAGGACCAGGCCCGCGCCAAAAAGGAAACCTTTGACATTCTCACTGAAATATCGAATATCCTCAACACAGGTGAGTCAAATGTGATCGATATCGCATAGATGTAATAACATGTATGAATCAATTTGCTCAGTTTGCTCAATAACTACAACGTAACGGCACTGTTGAAGCTTTATACAAATTGGCTGTCACGTAACAAATTGTTCTACTGAGTCGAAACCAATTATAACAAAACAACCCAAACCATTTGGTCGCTGCCCCTCTCTGCCTCAATTCCCACATTCTCCGGATGTGCTGAAGCCGTCTTATGCCGGTTCTCAGGCCTGGACGGCGAGACCCTCTCGAGGTGTGTCCGTCTCTGTGAGAACGGCGTCAACCCCGAGTCCCTGGCAAACGTGATCAAGGAGCTGCGCCGCGAGTCGGCCGCGATCAGAGAGGCGGAGAGCGTCACTCCGCCGCCCTAGCGGTGACGCGGGGAACTACCGTGGTGGCGCTGTGATACACGGACGAGTGCCAGCAGCCGGACTGCCATTTTAGGCAGAAGGCTGTGATGGATTCAGTGCTGGAAGGACTGACTGGGCAGATGACTCCAGACTTTGTGATGGAATGGATTGAGCGTTATGCCATGATGATATGAACACGTAGGCCGTGGCAGTTCATGCTTCATCCTCGGTCTAGGAGAGTTGGTCTCACAGGTAGGTAGCGCCGATATTAATTCGGGTAGGTACTGCACAGCGAGCCCAATCGAGAGAGAATGAGTCTATGGCTCTGTCGTAGTGTTCAAACACTATACAGACTCACACGTTTCAACATGCGACGTTCGCGTAGCGTTTGTGAAATGGACGTCTTTGAATGTGTGTCGCCGGCGCAGTAATGATTGCTAACTGCTCAGGATCTCGTAACATATTCTGCGACCGTTTGTCCGTTCACTTATCAGTGCATCATTTGAAAGTATAATCTCGGCTGCCTCCTCTATCTGTATTTATGTCCGTCATGCAATGCGGTGTCAGTGAGCGTGTCGAGAAGCTTTGCGTGGCGTGCAGTATTGAACTGCTAGCTCTATGGGTCGCGTCTATTCTTCTATGACATTTAGTGCAGACCTGCCATTTGCTCGACGCTAATACACAGTTCGACTAAGCCGCGTTTGATGTGCTTTGGACACCGCCGCTGCAAATCCCTGTGGTATAATCCGCTGTGAACGGGTTGGTCGTTAGTGGATCGTGCTGCCCGTCCCCTAGATTTGGTCGGTCGTCCCCCTAGATTCAGTCGGACGTTGGTCATTGACTGGCTAGTCCGTGCCTTAGGCATTGCACCAGTTGGAAGTTAGGAAGAGACGCTGCTGTCAGTCGGTGTGCTATATGTATGATTTGGTGATCGTGTGGATCAGGCCCAGTTACAGGGTGATGCGTAATGGCTCTTTACGGCGGTACAATCACTTTTGGGGGACACTAACTTGTGTCAAATATACCACAGACGTCTCGCACCTTTGTTCCCGTCTCTTGGTATTGTTGGCGTGGTCAGTTCACTGTCGTCCAGAGGAAGGCTGCTATGAGTTACGGACTACGCCGATTTAGGTGCTGTCGAAGCACCTATCAATCAATCAATAGGTGCCACCTATCGATAGAAGAGCCCCACATCTGACACTTCAAAATATATGTAGCCCGTCACTCTGTGGTTCGGTATTTGCTACGTAATCGAAACTCACTGACGTAATAAAACTGAATTGAAATACCTTTGTAGATGCTTTATGTAGCTATTCGTGACAAAACCGTTAAGGCCAATTTTTAACCTTTTTTATCGACTGATGAACATTAATCAGTTATCTATATTCACCCAAAAGGGTTGAAGTCAAGAGTTGACCGGGGGCAAAGGGCATGCCCAGCGGTGGCAAGATTCATTCTAAATCGTTTGACGTGATGTGACGGGCATGCCGATTGATCAGACTTCGTTTATTCAATAGCTGTAAGGAGCGCTGGTCTCTTGAACTTATGTTAGCAGAGTCCGCCGTGGGTCACTCAAAGGTCACAGAATACGATTACGGTTAAAAATATCGATGTATAGCAGTGAACGCTCACCAGAATAGGTATCGGTGGTGTTGAAATATGCGTGTATTGCTTATCTGGTCCCTACACATACATTCGATCAGCTCAGAAGTGTTTAAGCAGCTATTATGCATGTGTTCTGTCGTAGGTACCCAACTTCTTTTCGTTCGTTGCACTTACTAATATTCGCGATTCAAGCCGTGTTTACACTATAAAGTTTTTTTTGCGAGGCTCTAGTGCTACTTGAAATATCACAAAACATGCCCGTGACGCTTTGCCACAAACAAAAAGATCTTATTCAACGATACGAAAGCACGTTGCATCGAAATTACGGCGGAATTAATGAGCTAGAGACTCGCCAAAAACTATGTAGCCCAGGCATGTTTGCGCATTCATAGCCAATACGACGCATACCTACGCATAAACATAAGCATACTCATACGTATGAATCATTTGGTTTGATCTACTATAAATCCCCGTTTTGATAGTCGTAATGTAACACCAGCGTGATTGTCGGTGGCTGTGCGTGATAAGCTCTGTAAAGGTCATAGTTTGTTAAATGTACTTAAACCTCCATCATTTTTGCTTCGATATTAGGTATAGTTATATAGTGAATCGCTTGGGAAGAAAACCCATTGTATTTTATGCACAATTAATCGTTATTCCCATGGACCTCCATAGCCTGTTAATCATACCTACTATAATATTGAATCACTGTATTTGGTCTCCAAAATAAAAACAAAATAGCATGCATTGGGGCTATATATTCTTACATTGAATTACTGACATGTCACCTCTGTGAAGATCATTGTTGGGTTTTACCTCCCGCGAAGGTAGGATTAAGCTTGTCCGTGATCCGTCTGGCAAGTGAATATAAACAGCCATGTCACCTAGGTATTGATGGTCACCTGTTTCCTATATCAGCCGGTTCCACCGTGCAACCTTCTGGCTTTCGCTACTATGCGACAGACATCAATTAAACCGAAACAGCACTGCTCAGGCGCCTGCGCTTAGCTTATGATCTCCTCCATAGATGTCACTAGTGGTGAGCGCCTAAACAGTAGGCTGTACCGCATTACCTCAAACCGACTGCGCGTGTCAATACGGGCGCGACGTCTGACGTCTGGTCGCTCGTCAGTCGTCACGGATCAATATATCCTAGCATGAAGTGCTAGTGCTACTTTAATTATCAGCATTGGAGGGAAAGGAATCGCCCCGATGCCTAAAGGTCAATGACCTGGCTGGACAGACCAGACCAAACCACTGCACCCAGTAGCCGTCCTGCGCAGATGAATTGGCCGAGACTGTCTCAATCGCATGCATTGAGGAGCTAGAACTATTTCATTTTATCTTAACCCATCTATCTGCAATGCATGGGACAAACACTGGACGGGAATATTACTCTGCATGATTCATTTGATATGACACTGTGAATGATAAGTGGACCATTGCTGCCGGCTCACTCATCGAATAGATCAGGGTGACCCATTCAGAGCTGGTTTACATTCAAATGATACGCATGCATGAGACCGCTCTCACGCACTAGTCTCAAACGCGGCGCCACTCCAGCAGGCAATTTTCAGCGTCAGTCACACCATTGCTGAATGGGAACGAATGAATAAATTTGCATGCTATAGAAATTGGGTACGTTGCCAAACGTTTGCGCGATGGATTCGATTACAGATCTACTCTGCAAGCGAAACCATGGCATCATGGCCACAGGACCAGGCATTCACGAGTTAGTTACCCACTTCCAGCTTGGATAACTTGCTGCGCTACGCGATCTAGCGAATATTGGAACGATACAAAATAAGTATCCCTTTTATTTCAGTGACTAGTTAATACCTTTTCCTACACTAAACTAAGGATGTATTTAGCCCCCCCCCTCACGTCCATAGGTATCTATTTATTTTCAAGACAGTTGCAAATGATTGCACTGCCTCGAAGTCAAGGCCATGAACTTCAAACAACATTCAACTAAACATTTTCAAAAAGAGAAGTGGAAATGACGAGTGCATGGATTTATGGCACATATGTACACCATGGTACAATAGATTATGTAGATTACCTATGGACATTAGAATTACCAACATATTTCTGGTCACCTGAAGCAAGAACGGGTCAAGTCAAGGTCACAAATTCAATGTTACATCAATTGCATTTTTGACCATGCCATGAGAAGCCAGAATGTATGTGATAGAGAGCGCTATACTCTATCGAGTATTGGTCCTGAAAATGCCAGTTAGCTTCATACATATATCAGGGCAGGGCAAAAGAGCCAAAAACAAGTATACGTACAAACGCGTATAACGCGTACACGCGTACGTATAAACGCGTTTCTAGGTGAATACGACATTTGCTAATAAACACTCGAATATTGTGTATTGTTTTTCAACACCGTTTTCCAACTCCCATCGTGCGAAAAGGACATTGGCCACACTCCTTATATAAAAACTACGCTCACGCTGAATCTCGTCCGAGGCATGCGATAGCCATCCCAGAGGCGAACCATTCCTGATAAAGGAGAGCTTTTTCATGCTGGTGACAGCTGCTCGAAAAATATCGGTTTCGAGCGGTGACTGCGCCTTTGTTTAGTGCTCCTTGGCGTATTCTTTCCATGCATCACCAATTGACTAGCTGATGAAAGTAAAAGTTATCGGAGAGCGGGTGGACACCCTCGAGACTGGAAATCTATTGGTGGTCACCACACACTCGCCCGCGCTATGGTGCGATTTTTGAGGCCGCGCCCGGTTGAACTGGCATTCGGTTCCAGCTACCAATGAGACCCTCTAATGCCGACGGAATTGGATGTGATACTGGATGATAATTGCACGAAATTTATGAGATATCACCAGCTCATGTGTGCTGCCCACGGCAAATTAGTATGTTTGAGATATTGCCTGCCGGGGCCGTTCAACATTCTGCAGCTATGGAGTAGTTTGTTCACCCCGCTGTCGACCTTTGTCGAAAGTTGGCT